GTGCATGGCATCAGATCAAAGTCCTCCTCCTCCCTCCATCCTCTCAACATTCCGATGAAGGCCAATGTTTGGGAAGGAATGCCTCTGCCATGTAGGGTAAAGCCCCCACCTGGTGAACAGAAGTCCCTCTCTGCAGAGGATGAACCAGGACAGAAGCCTGACCTACACATATAGCCTAGTGTCTATCTAATCTATCTGTCTATATATCTATATTGGAGATATCTATCTATCTATCTATCTATCTATCTATCTATCTATCTATCTATCTATCTATCTATCTATCTATCTATCTATCTATCTATCTATCTATCTATCTATCTATCTATCTATCTATCTATCTATCGGTCTGTCTGTCTGTCTGTCTGTCTGTCTGTCTGTCTGTCTGTCTGTCTGTCTGTCTGTCTGTCTGTCTGTCTGTCTGTCTGTCTGTCTGTCTGTCTGTCTGTCTGTCTGTCTGATTCTCTACTTGAGGAATTAAAAGAAAGTTTTATCTGATTTAGCAAAATTCTAGGAACATTCTTCAGCAATGTTATCCCTAAAAGTATGACTAGGTCAGAAGCACACCCGCGCACTATGCACTCACAGTAGTCTGGATCGCTCTTCCATATATGGACAAACTTCCAAGCGGCAAATGTTTGGGAAAGTGACGTCACAGGTCAAGCGCACAGACAGTGAGATCTTATTCTCAACGCTGCTGCTTAATCAAAGCAGTAAAACACTTTCTCGCCAAAATAAATCAAACTTTTGTTCAACTTATGACAAACTTATTTATGTGCTCGTCATCATTATATTTCCCTCACACATTGAGTACTTATTTTTGTTCGGCGTACGAAAAATTCGCTCAGGAAAACGATGACCGGAAAGTTTACACTGGACCTTTTGCATTTGTGCCAAGAAGATCCACATTCAGATATTTTTTTATGTACTTAGAAATTATTAAAATGATTCATATGCCATCTAAATATACATAACAATTTATATTATCAACACCAACATCAACAAAACTGGAGCCACAGGCCATTTAAATCATTTTACGAACTAACTTTTCACAACCAGAGAGAGGCAAGACAGCTGTTGAATTACTAAAACAAACTCCACTACACTGGATCGCTGTTTGGATTCAAAGGGCCTGGGACAAAATTGTAATGGATGGCCCCCGTCATAAGCGTTTTTGGTCCACCAGACAAACATTTGAAGATATTTCACAACAGAAGGTCTAATTTACATGCACATAAACATGGATCACGCAAACACTCTCTCACACACAATCAAACACATCAGATAGTCAAACTTTCTATTTTCTACATTTCGAAATAGGCTATTTTTGCACAAAAACAACTTTTTCTCACAGTTTTCCCATGTGAAACATATATAAAGCATTGCAGGTAGAGCATGTTTTATATGGATGATCTTCGGGACAGTTTGAAAGCGTTCGGGCTATGATCCGGCACAAGCTGGCACTACCACCCCCTGCCCCCTTTGAGTGTGAAACTCAACAGTATCTAGAGCTGTTGTCATGTTCCTGATAAGATGCTGGCCGATGAAGGCAAGCCTGTGAAATTTTATCTTAGTTTTCTGAGTGGCCTATTTGATTTAAAAGTATAAGAATAACCAACCTCCTCATGTGCACAAGGACATTAAGAAGGCGTACACATCATAAGTTTCCTGTTGTTACAGCCGATTCAGACAGAACGAGAAGAACAAGGTTACAGGATAGAGACACAAAAACTAAACACGATCAGACGCTTACAGCTGAGCAAAAACATCATTATCGCAACAGCCCTCTCACACAGAAACAGATTTTCACTTCATACATCTATGCATTATTGATTAAATGCAGAATGGTTGAACTAGGTGTCATAAGCAGTCAAGCATATTTATTAGACTTTTTTTTCCACTAATGAAGGAAAATGTAAAGGACTAAATCAACCAATGATCAACCAGTTCTCTAAAATAGCTCAGAGGCGCATGTATAGACCGAGCACATCTCAGTATTACAAATTCTGACAATGAAGAACAATCAGGAAACAAACAAGGTCAACAGCTAAGAAAAAGAAGAGTAAGGATGCATGTGGGTGGGTACAGAGGCAAAACTGTAGAAGAGGCCATTGTGGACCATGTTCTAAATCAGGACCTCCTGGGAGAACATCCGTGACCTCAGTCAGACAATGTTCAATACTGTAATGCTATATTAGTAAATTTTACATCATACAGTAAATATACTTCATAGAGACACAATGTAACATACAAACACACATATAGTCTGTTTATATTCATGTGTCTTGTCTTTTTCTTTATATCACATGACATTGTACTGTAATTTGTTGACAGTAAAGTGAAACTGTGAATCCTGTCCAATCTCATTCAATCAATATCCCAAAGAGTAATGTGTAAATGTATATTGTTTAAATGTATACATGCCATAGAAAAAAGGTGTAGTCTTCTGCATTTTCAATCACTCATATAATCACTTATTTCTCAGTGTGTCAATACGTTTACACTATATTATTCAAATTTGTTTCCATTTTGTTGCACTTACCTCTCTTTCGTTGTGTGCAATATCAAGCAGTACATGTTGCTTACTGTGCAATATTTCTGTTCAATATGCGACTGTCCGCCTTCCTCTCACTAGTTTTGTGTGTATTGTTTTTGCATTCTATTGATTATGGTAGCCTATATTGTTTATTGACATAATGTGTTGTAAATTGCTTATTGTATCTTTTCTTTAAAATTCTACTCTAATTGTATTTGTTTAAATTAGATGTTTATTTTGCCCAATGGTATTTGTAATGGCACTGATTGCTACAATTTCGCTAAACCTTCGTATAGTGACAAACAATCTTGAGTAAATACTTTTGAGGATTTTAAGCAAGTTTCAGGCTTTTGGCAGGTAATCCATTGTGTGGTGCTGTTTGTACGTATTGTTTTGAAAAATGCAAAAACTGGTCTTAAGGATGAGAAAATCTAAGAAAAAAAAAAATAAGAAAAAAATCTTAAGGATGATTCAAGAAATTTACCAAAGTGACAAAAAACTAATTAGGCACAAGATATCCTAAAACACACACAAAAAAAATAGTCCCTAGAGGTACTAAATACAGCTAATATAGTTATGAATTTATGAAAAACTTGATGCCCCCACATTTATGTCTAAATAAACAGTGATTTCTGGCCTTGGTCATGAGAAATATCAAAAGCTTTGTTTGCATGAAACCTTGATTCCACAGGTGAGTAAAAGCAGCCTGCCGTTTTGAGGACTAGAACACAATTCTAGAGATGACTCACTGCAAAACAGGGGTCATGATGTGAGAACAATTCACACTTCTACAGGAGACTGAGGGTGTGTCCCAGTGACCGTACTCCTGAATGACATCAGCCAAATAACTGTCAAGTATAGCGCTTACCGCTGGGTGGAGTTTCCTTATCGTGTTCAACAACAGAGACGAGTCCATGTATGGCTGCCTCGAACTGCTCATCGGAACAAGACCATGTCAGTCTGACTGTGTGTGTGTGTGGCCAGTGGAAAAGCTGTAGTTCATTTCCTCCAGGACAACCTGTTTCTCATCCAAGGGCTTGCATTAAAAAATACTGCTGCGATTCTGTGAATTCTCTAGATGCCACGAGTTTAATCTGTTCATCGTCAGCCGCAGGAACTGTTCTGCAATTGTTTTATGTCAAACTCAATAACTGCATTTTCTCTTTGTAGAACAATCAGGTGATATCTATAAGAGTTCACTTTGTTCGACACATTTAGTTCATTATTAATTGTCTGCAATGTCATTCAATAGACGAAACTTGAGTCACAGATTAGGGGTTGAGAATAATGGGGTCGTATACATTACATGTAACCTATATCTATTAAATGTTTGGGGTTGTTTTTTTATGTTTATATGTTCACCAAGGCTGCATTTAATTGATGCAGTAATATTGTGAAATATGCTTTTATAATTTGAAATAACGTTTCTATTTTATTATATTTCAAAATGTATTTTTTTCCTGTGATGGCAAAGCTGAATTTTCAGCATCATTGCTCCAGTCTTCAGTGTCACATGATCCTTCAGAAAATATTCTAATGTGCTGATTTGCTTCTCAAGAAACATTTCCTATAATTTTCAATGTTGAAAACAGTTGTGCAGCTTAATTTTGATTTTAAAAACCATGATACATTTTTCCAGGATTCTTTGATGAATTGAAAGATCAAAAGAACTGCATATATTTGCAATAGAATTTTTGGCAACCATGTAAAATCTTACTGAACCCAAACACTTAAAAGGTATTATACCGAGGGCTGCCCTTTAAAAGTTATATATGCTAGAATTTGCATACATTTTCTTTCTGGTTAAGCTACCCGTTGTCATGATACTGTTATTGTAACCGTCACATAGTTTGCATAATTTATATACAGTGCATAAAATAACTGGTGAATTTTAGTCGATTCAGGGGCTAGTTCCATCGACATAGCCATTACGCTAATACTGTCTTTTGACAACTATGACCAACCCTCAGTTAGTTAGGGGTAATAATTAATAACCAATCTGCATTTTTATGAAACTGACTTAAAGTTAGGAACAGTCAGAAAAAAAAATGATGACAAGACTAGTCCCAGCAGTTTATGTATCCAGCCACTGATGCAAAAATTAGAGTAGTACTGAAGTGGTTGTGCTTAAACACTCGCTACGATTCTGAATCTCACTTTAGACGTTTAAATAGCCAATTTAGTCGAATTTTCAAAGTACTATCAATCAGGTGACTGTAGAGGAAGAGTTTAAGACATGTCCTCTGCTGACCAATTACATTATCATTAATGTTCTCATAAATCTTTCACATGGGCCTGCAATCCGCTCCATTAGACAGATGGAGAGCAGATACTGATACATCACCATGGTGACCATTCTCACATTGGAATATTCTAGATCACTCACCCAGAAATTACAGCAGGCTACTTCCTGTTTGATGATGATTAGAATGGTGTACGATGATGAAGATGAGATATCACAAGACGGTTTCTATGGAAACACTGGAACAGAACTTTAATGCACAACTCAAACAGTTGCTGTTCAATGAGGTTACCATGGAAACAATGCCCCCTCCCCCCTCCCTCACAACAGGCATTCTTATAGAAATGCTCTCAAATCTCTTATCTTCTCACAGCCCAAAACCAAACCAGGACCCCTAACATAAAGGTTACAGGTTCAGTGGAACTAAAACATTATGAAACAAAAAGACATTTTTTTTCTTCCAATAACATATTAATATCACTAATATCTTTTTTAGTGTCATCCCTGTGGTGTGACATCAGATAAAAGGAGTTGGTTCAGAAATTAAACCAAAAGACCTTGAAAGAGTCCAAAAATGAACAACTCAAAATAAGTTTGACTGAGCCAGTGAGTTGGGCTGTGACATCACCACATTTTCGCCCTCTTCTCCGATGGAGAATCCTCCTCGTCTCCTGAGTCCGTACAAGTCCGTTTCCCGGCAACACTGGCGGACTCCCTTCCAGAGGGCTCCCCCTGGGTCCTGGAGTCGCCAGAGTTCTTACTGAGTTCTGTGTCTGCCCCAGAGCATTCTGGGTGAATAGAGTCTGCAAGGTTCTCATCTGCGTGCGGACGTCCGTTAACCCCGGCCGTTGTGGCGCGACTGCTGAGTGTCACGTTTATTTCTTCCACAGCACTTAACTCTTCCCCGCTAGTTCTCCCTCGCTCTAGTTCCTCCCCAGACTCTGCGAGAAAGCCCACTCGAGATTTCGCCCTCTCCACAGGGGCGTCACCAGCCGAGAAAGAGGAAGTGATGCGGCGCCTACTCCTGGACTGCGATTGTGACTGTCTGTCGGATAAGTGCGTGGGACTTGAGACATGACTCTTCTTTGCTTTTCCACGATTCCTGAAAGGTCGACCTTCGTCGCCTGAGGACGAAGAGGGTGATGACCGATCATGGACGGAAATGCTGGGATAGTTGGAGAAATCTGTTGCACCGTGAAGATTGTGAGCAGATTCTCTTCCAGAAAGGCCAATGTTGCGCCTCCACCTGGCTGCGTTGCGCTGTCGCATCCTGCTCCTGCGCAGCTCCTCGTCAACTCCGTCTGAGCTGGAGGAGGAGCTAGAAGACGAGCTGGGGGAGGAGCTAGAACTGGAGGCCACGCCTGCTGAGGAGGCGTGGCTAGAAAGGCTCGAGTTCTCGTGTGGACTTGGAGATCTGGGACGGGGCATCGGATCCAACCAGAACCCGCTGGAATCGGAGTCCTCGTTCACAAGGTCCAGCAGAAACGCAGATGCACGTGGCCTCGAGCGGCTCCTCTGCGACCCGTTCTGGTCCTGATCGGCCCGCTCGCTCCCGGACGCTTCTGGTCCAGCCAATGAGGATGAAGAGGAGTGGTCAGAGTCGCTGACGTGAGTGGCGGACACATTAGGAGGAGATTGTGGCATGGATCGCGTGGAGCGCGTGGACCGTCGAGTTCTCGCGTGCAGCTGCAGAATCGCACCCTCGCTCAAATCGCTGTCCGAGTCTGAGCTCCAACCCTCAATCTCACGGCGAACCAGCGAGTCGAAGAAAGCCATCATTCGCGGGTCCTCCTGCACTGATTGGCTAACGTAATCATGTGACAGGCCACTTCCGCTGTTGAGGACCAGGCTAATGTATTCCTCATGAGTGTAGAGAGAGCGAGATTTGTCCTCCACCAGGCCTTCCAAATCTCCAAGACTATCTGGTTGTTGATACGGACTCCATACCTACAGACAGAGAGGAAAGTTTACAAGGGAACTTCTTCCTAAAGTTTAAAGGTACTGTCAAAGAAAAATATAAAATTTGATATTACTGTACTAAAGTCAATTTACTAAAGAAAATGGTTTTTATTGATTTTGAATTAAGGTGGCAGTCTTTTCCCCTATATTTATTAATTTTAGGTGTATAAACACAAATTTATGAATAATTATGGTTTCAAAGCAGTTATTGGCATTGAGCAAAATAAAAGCATATAGAAAGAAACAAATAAAAAACAATTCTTAAGGACAATATAATATTATTTCATATAATATAAATCATATTTATTTATAAATACATTTATTTGCAAGAATCAGTAATATATATATATATATATATATATATATATATATATATAATATAAATCATATTTATTTATAAATACATTTATTTGCAAGAACCAGTAATATATATATATATATATATACTGTATATATATATATATATATATATATATATATATATATAATATAAATCATATTTATTTATAAATAAATATGATTTATATTATATGAAATAATATTATATTGTGCTTAAGAATTGTTTTTTATTTGTTGTTTTATATATATATATATATATATATATATGTATATATATATATATTTATTTATATAATAATTTAAAATGTTTTCTTTTTGAATGTTTTAAAATGTAATGTATTCCTGTGATGCAAAGCTGCATTTTCAGCAGATATTATTCCAGTCTTCAGTGTCACATGATCCTACAGAAACTGATGTGCTGTCAGTGTGAATGCACAGCTGCTTACTCCCTGCTCAAACATGCCTAACATCCCAGATATGTTCAAGAATTATAACAAAATTGAACATGCATAAATCACTGCAGCCACGTCTATGGCTGTACAAACACAGCAGATGTCTGTCTGTTAGTGTTATATTATATAAAAACAGCCATGATGGTCTCTGACAAAAAAATCAAGTTTAGTGTGTGAGAACAGGCCCACAGTGTGCAAGTGTTACTCAACATCTACTGCCTGCCAAAAATTTCACAAGAACCACCAGCAAAAGATAAACCACAGTCTCACTCTTACACACACAACAGCACATGACAACAACACTAAAGAAACAAATTCACACAGAACATGACAGTTGGGGAAAAAACCCACCAAAAAAAATGAAGAGAGAAAAAAGACAGTGAGACAGGTAAAAAGAGTGAGACGGGTAAAATCATGTCCAGTTTTTGTGCTTTCAGGGTTTTAGGTGCGGCTGAACTAGCGATAGCAGAAATTCATTTAAGACTTAACGTAGCAGAGACACAAGTTCAGACATGATGATCTTTCCAACACACGCAGAATCTTTTCCTGTGTGTGTGTATGCGGCAAGTCTGCTCGTGTCAGGCAGTAATAGTTTACCCAGAAATCCCATTTCATCCATTTATTCACCCTCATGTTGTTTTAAACCTCAAAGACTTTCTCTTCAAAGGAGATGCAAGGTAGAATGTTTAAGCTTCTCTCTTCCATACAGTAAAAATGAATGGGACTGATACTATTGAGCTCCAAATACGATAACAATACTCCATAAAAGTATTTAAAAATCTGTTGAAATGTCTTGTGGACTGTATTTTATGAAGACATATCATGTTAGTGATAAGGGAGCTTTCAAACCAAATTTGAACATTCTACATATTGGAACTTCAGCCACAACATGAACTACCATTGAAAAGTTTGGGGTCAGTAAGATTTTTAAAAGTCTCTTTTGCTCGCCAAGGCTGAATTTATTTGACAAAACAGTAATCTTGTGAAATACTATAACAAATTTAAATGAACAGTTTTCTTTTTGAATATATTTTAAACTGTAATTTATTCCTATAATGGCAAAGCTAAACTTTTAGCATTATTACTCCAGTCTTAAGTGTCACATGACCCCTAGAAATCATTCTAACATGCTGATTTGCTGCTCAAGAAATTCTTATTATTATCAATGCTGAAAATCAATTGTTTCAGTTTGGCCTAATAAACCATGATTTTTTTCAGGATTAATTGATGACTGGAAAATTGACAAGAACATGATTTATTTGAAATATAATTATTTTGTTTAAGTCTTTACTTTCACTTTTAATCAATTTAATGCATCCTTACTGTATAGAAATATTATTTTCTTTCTTAAAAATCTTACTGACCCAAAACTTGTGAATGATAGTGTACACATGAACCAGTGGTGTATTCAAACGAGATTTTCAATGAACACCAACTTTTCCCTCACAAAGCTATAATATGATTTCAGATAACTTGTAACATTATACACAAACCATATTTATTACTTTTAAAGTCATTTAAATCCACCCAGCCATTACCATTCACTTTGGTATGGAAAAGAGCAACATTAACATTAATATTTGTATTCCTTTGAAGAAAGAAAGTCATAAAAGTTTAGATTAGAACAACATAAGGGTGAGTAAACGATGACAGAATTTACTCCTAGAATTTGATGTTTTATCCCCCTTTAAATAAATCTGCTGAAATACATTAGTTTGTTCTAATGCATGTATGAAAGTAAAAACTAACCTTAATGACCTTCTCCACACCGGAGGAGCAGATCATGTACGTGTGAGGGTTGAATCGGACCTGATTCACGATGGACCGATGACCTTTCAGAATCATAAAGGCCCCGTTCACCACTCGACCCGCACCTCCTGCCGAGACAGAGAGAGAATGTATCCATAAACAACAGCAACATTAGACACGGTTACCTTGTGCAAGAGTGTGTGTGTGCGTGTGTGTTTACCTGCTTCAGGGTCACTGGGGATTCTCCACATGTAAAGGTTAAAATCATCTGAGCCAGACAAGATGTACTGAAAACACAGAGATATATGTGTGAGAGTTCTAGAGAAATATGACATGATCTGTCACCACAAAAGAAGTTTCTAGAATTATATATTTGACACTCAGGCTCAGTAGCACAACTGTACACAAACATTGTAACAGTGGTGGTGGCTACCCTTAAATTAAATTATTATATTTTCCCCAAATTCGGGCACCAGACAGTTTTCTAAAACTGACAAAAATCAAAACAACCCAGGATAGCAAAAAAAAAGCCCCACTGATTATACACAAAAACAAGTTTTTCAAAATAAGTTTCAATTTAACTGGAATTTATTAATGTAAATAAACATAAAAAAGGGTATTCATTTCAGAAAAACAAAAGCAAACCAAACAACCAGTAAATAAATAAACAAATAGTTCTTAACGTAACAGTTAAATTTTACAGTTCAAAATCAGAAAAAACACAAAACATCCACACAAAATGAAAGTTGAGAGTTTTTTTCCATATAAAACCTATAACATAACACCATTCAAAAGTTTGGAAAGAGAAATTAATTCAGCAAGTTAATTGAGGAAAAGAAAAGATAATGTTGTGAAGATTTCTATTTAAAAATAAATCTTTTCATTAAAGAATCCAGGAATAAATGACACTGGTTCCACAAAAATACTAAGCTGTTTTTAACATTGAAGATGATAATAATAATAATAATAAATGTTTCTTGAGCAGCAAATCAGCATATAAGAATGATTTCTGAAGAATCATGTAACACTGAAGACCGGAGTTATGATTGGCTTTCCCATTACAGGAATATATACACTTTAAAAGATATTCAAATAGAAAAAGTTATTTTAAATTGTAATATTTCACAATACTTTTGTTTTTAACCAAATAAATGCAACAAGACTTCTTTCAAAAACATAAAGAATCCCTACTGACTGCAAACTTGGTATTGTTAATGCTTTTATAATCATTTTTTTTTAAAACACAGAATGCCTGTGTTTCAAATGTAGATAGAAAAGCTCGCTTTGGGGACATCTTGCATTCAGCCAACCTCTAAAATAAACACACAGACTGAGCTTTTCAGGGGATAGAGATGATTTAGGGAGGAGGATCCACCATTCTGTAGAAGGACGTGTAGGACAGTCAGACAGAAAGAGAGAGGAGAAACAGCTGGACAAACATACAAAAAATCCAAACACAGAACCCAACAGACCGACGCACACACAAACGCAGACAGACAGAACAGCATCTGCTGAGCTTTAGATTCAACATCGATAAAACAAGCTTCAACAAGCCGTATAACCCAACATTCCCGCACTGAACATACCGGAACACATCCACACACAGCATCTACAACCCACTGACACGCACACGTCCACCAACGGATGTACACAAAAACATAAACACATGCAACCTCAGAAACTTCTGTGCTATCAATGACCAGTCACATACACACACTGTTATATCACCCGTTACCAGATATTATAAAGGGACTGGTTAAGTAAGTTAAGTTAGCAAGTTGCACTCAACATTGTGTGTGTGTAACGACAGTTATTCAAATAGATATGAAGATCTTTATTATAACTAATGAGTTTATCTATATTTATTGGTTTATTTTATTCTGTTATGCTCAGACTAGCTGTTTTGAAGAGTCCAAACAAGTGAATCCCTAAGAAACCTGTCTGATCTCGGTCTGAAGGATACATTAAACCAACATAATTATGTAAAAATAAAACAAAAAAGAGAAATCGCACTTCTTAAAAGATGACGTGTGCACTCACGCAAATCAGCAGATGAATAAACGCCTTTTTTTGTTTTTTTAACGTGGAGCGGGTCATCTCATAGTTGCTGCTATGTTGAGATCACATGACCAGCCGAATATGAATACCTTTCCATCTTGGTTACCTCCCTATTATCGAAAAAATTGATAATTGGAGAAACATATACTATATTTGTTCACACTTTGCAGTGTGGCGTAGGTAAGATTTCTTAATGTTTTGATAAAAAACTGTGATATTGTGAAATATTATTGCAATTTAGAACCTTCAGTCTTCATGAATTTACTTCAGTCTTCATGATCCTTGTATTGTGATTTGGTGCTCAGGAAACATTTCTTATTATTATCTATGTTGAAAATAGTTATGCTGGTTAATATATTTTGTGGAAGCTGTGATAAAAAAAAAAATTCAGGAATCTTTGGTTATTAGAAAGTATTAAAAACAAAAATCTTTCATAATATCATAAATGTTATCTCCATCACTTTTGATCAATTTAATGCATAGTGGTAGATAAAAAATAAATTATTTATAATTAAAAATTAAAAAAAACAAACATTTTTTAAACAGTAGTGTATATGTTGCTTGCAAAAAATAAAATAAAAGTGTACTTAAATTTTTGGATGGCAATCAATGAAGAAAGAAGTTTTTGCCCACATGTTTCGGCATCCGAGTTTTGCACATCCCAAGTGTTTCTCTAACCTGATCTCGGTCTCCAGCGAAGCAGCAACTCTTCATAGTGCAGGAGTTGAAGTAGCCCTGGTTATCAAACTGGAAACTGGGCAGACGAGAGTGGAGCTCGTACAGGACGGGGGGCAGACGTCTGCGCAGAGCCAGCAGCTGCGTCCCCGTGCTGTTAAAGCGCACGCTCATGGCACTCTGAAGAGACAAACTCCCTCCATACCGCAACAGGGAACTACAGCACAGAGAAACACACATCAACTACAAAGGAAAATAGATCATCATCCATTCTTATGCTATTTTAAAATAGCATTAAAGGGGCATTTTAAGAGATCATGTCAACACTTGACCAAACGGAGAACATCTTTACACAAGCTCTGCTGTCCTCTGCTGGTCTCAGGCAGTACAGCAGACAGCTATGATGATAGAGTTGGCCTTGTCAGCTAGATTTCAGTCCATATTTGGAGTGAAGCATCATGCATTCAATATTACCAAACATAGTTCAGCAACCCTAGTTTCCCATGTTTAGCTTTGCTTATAAACACTGTTCATTGAAAAATTTGATTCTGATTAGCCAGTTGCTAATCAGAATCTCTCTGAAATTACTAATTACTCTGAAAAATGATTGGCCCCTTTTAAATTTTATTTTAGAAACAGTTAAATAGCCCTGTGTGTGTTTTTTGGATTGAGGGCTGATAAACATTCTGACGCTCCTTGATTTAAGCTCTGCTTTTAATACAGTTTGTCATGAAATATTGATCTCTAGGCTTTCTGATATTGGCATCACTGGCTCTGCTCTTTCCTGACTCATTTCATACATCAGTGACAGAAAGTATTATATCACTATAAAAGGGTTTAGATGTGCCATTGCCTCACTTACACAGGGTGTTCCTCAAGGTTCGGTTCTAGGCCCACTATTGTTTATCATTTACGTCTATCCACTCGGTGACATCATATGCGGGCATGGACTTAAATTCCACGGCTATGATGATGATATTCAAATATATCTCAACACCAGCTCTGATAGACCATATATGCCTGACTCGCTCACTGCATGTATCAGAGACATCAGGCATTGGATGTCACTGAATTTCCTCAAATTAAATGACAAGAAAACCGAGATATTAGTGATTGGCTCCTCAGTCAAAAGGATGGACCAGTCCTTTGCAATTGATGGAATTCATATTAAGCCTTCGCCATCAATTCGTAACCTTGGTGTCTAATTCGATCAAACTCTATCATTTGGCTCTCATATTTCTTCTCTTGTTAAAAACTCCTTATTCCATCTTCAAATATTGCTTGTTTACGATCTTCTCTCACTTTAGCTGATGCTGAAACCTTAATTCATGCATTAATCACATCATGCCTGGACTATTGCAATGCCTTATTTATTGGTCTTCCCAAAAGACTTATTGCAAGATTACAATATGTTCAAAACTCTGCAGCGAGAGTTCTCACCTCTACTAGGCGTTCTGCCCACATTACTCCTCTGCTTCACAAACCTCACTGGCTACCTGTCCTGTGGCATCACATATCCAACTTTAAGGTATTGCTTCTAACGTTCAAACCATTAAATGGTCTTGCTCCACAATATTTGTCTGACCTACTCCACCCTTACCGGCCTACACGGTCTCTCAGATCAGCTGAACTTGGCTGGTTTATCAGCTGTCCATCCCTCGTTTCCGGTTGTCTACAGTAGGTGGAAGGTCTTTCAGTCCTAATGCTCCTCTACTATGGAATTCGCTACCTCTTACACTACGTAATGCCTCATCTGTGGTTACATTCAAGACCCAGTTAAGAACATATCTTTTTAACATGCATTTTGGATAATGTGATTAATATATATCCTATGTGACTATGGCGTATATGTGGGTGTTTAATGTATTGTATGTACAATGTAAAGCGACCGTGAGCATCTGGAAAGGCGCTGTATAAATAAAACTTCCTCTTTTTGGATAGGTTTGCAACTCACCTGCGGGGTTTGCGGATGTCCCACAGTCCCACCCCCTCTTTAGAGTTTGCAGTGGCCAGCAGACGGGGTTCTACAGGGTTAAACATCACGCTGTGAAACGCTGATGGGTAGTTGGCCAAGCAGAACGGTTCTAAAATACACAATAGAATAGAATAAAACAGAGTTTCTAGAACGGTTCATGCTTTAGATGGAACAGAGGTTATAGAACACATCAAAGAATCCTGAAAAAATACATTATGGTTTCGACAAAAACATTAAAGGGATACTCCACTTTTTTTTTTAAAATTGGCTCATTTTACAACTTCCCCAGAGTTAAACAATTGAGTTTTACCGTTTTCGAATCGATTCAGATGATTTTCTGATATTTAGAAGAATATCAGTAACCAGACAGTTTCTGGTCTTATTGACTACCATAGTATATATTTTTTCCTACAATGGAAATTAATGAGACCAGAAACGGTCTGGTTACTGATATTCTTCTAAATATCAGAAAATCAACTGAATTGATTCGAAAATGGTAAAACTCAACTGTTTAACACTGGGGGAGTTGTAAAATGAGCCTATTTGCCAAAAAAGAGCAGTATCCCTTTAAGCAGCACAACAATTTTCCAAATAAATGTTTCTTGAGCGCCAAATCGGGATATTAGAATGATTTCTGAAGGATCATGTGACAATGAGGATTGGAGTAATGAGAGTGAAAAATTAAGCTTTGCTATCACGGAAATGACATTCGTTAAAGGTGGGGTATGTGATTTTCTTTTTTGACCATTATTTCAAAATCACTTGAAATCTTATTCCTAACACACTTATGCTGGGTACACACCAAAAGATAATCGCGCTGATTTTGGGCCGATTTTCCCCCTTACGACAATCCTAGGTATGTCCCGATTATCTTATCTTATTATTATAGCAGATTCTCCCTTGGTGTGAGGTGTGTTAAGAGTGCACGAACCTGCTCGGAAGAACATCAGAGCCGCTCTGATCGCGAATTTACGATCAGAAATCCTGATGTGTGGGGGGAACCCCGAGGACAAACGCGCTCGCGTTCTGGAGATTATCACGTGAAACGAAACAATATCAAATCAGAAAGCGAGATGATGGAAGACGGAAGCATAACAAACGCAGTCATGGCGCAGCACAACGTGAAATTGATGTGGACAGCCGAGATGGAGGATCAGCTTGTTGATTTGTGCCTCAGAAAATGTAATAAGCTCAGTATAAAAACCATTCCATATAAGGATAAGTGTATGTGTGTGTGTTTGTGTGAGCGAGAGAGAGAGAGAGAGGGAAAATGAACCATACGCCTATAATAAACATTTGTATTATACTAGTTAGATTTTTTTTTTAGCAAAACTGTGGTTAATTTGTGGTCATTCCAAACACTATTCTGAAGTCTCGTGAGATTTTGCGAGATTTCCTATGTTCACAGTCTAGACTCTCTGGTTGAAAAACTTTTTGTGTGTGGTGTGCTGTCTTTGTCACATCATGGCACACCACACACTATAGGAGCAAAATGGTTGAATATAGGATTTTTTCTCCTCATGTGTGTGGTCTATCACATTTTGAAAATCTTATAAGATGTAAAAAATCCTTTGGTGTGTACCCAGCATTACAGACACGGAGTTAGAAGCACTGAAATGAAAATTAAACAATTTAATGATCTGTGGAACGGGCAGGAGTCGGAAAAACTCCAGCCAATCATTTTCAAGACCACCTAGAATCATTGGACAGAAAATGTGTCAATCAAACGGTCGTACCATACCCCCCTCCCCCCATCCCTCTCGCACGTGTGTCCCCTTTGTGTGCATATTCAAAGCTCTTGAGCCAGTACAGAGAGAGAGAGAGAGAGCAATCTCGCACATCTGAGTTTTTCATGATTGCGTGTCCATGTTCTTCTAATGGGTGAAGTCAGGGCCAAGTTAACGATGGAGGAAAGAAGGTAGGACCTTTTAAGTTGTCTATTTTCAAAATCTGCCGGGCCATTTTGCAAATCCCATACCCTACCTGTAATTAATTGAAATAGAATGGAGTTTTTTTTTTAATGTTTTCATGATCCTGATTTTTTTTTAACAAATAGATGTAGGCTTGGTGATCATAAGAGACTTCTTTCAAAAACTTTTAAAAAACTTAACCAACTCAAAACATTTTAAGGGTAGTGTACACTGCTGTATGTGACTATCCTGTAATTGTCATTCAAGCAAAATGGAGCCACACCAAAAACTAAGAAATTCAACTTTTCACTTGTGTGTACCTCCATGTGGAGGTTCTCGTGTGTCCCATATGAGAACTCGGCCGTCATCAGAAGAGCTGGCGAAGACGTTATCATTCACAGGACTGACGGACAGACCGTACACAGCGTCATCATGCAAGAAGACGTTGAGCGTCTCGCCGCGCTCTACATCGTGCAGAATCACCTGCTCATCGTTTCCTGCAGAGACAGACAGACACATTACACATCTGATCTCCTCCGTGTTTCAGCTGCAGCGTCATGAGTCTGAGCAGCTGCTTGTTTTACCTCCTGAGAAAACACGCTTGTTGGTGCTGTCAAACGCCAGGCAGAAAATGTTGGACAGGTGCTCCCCCTTCAACTTGATCGGTTTGGCCCGTGAGTGTATTGCTTTCTCCATGTGCCACAGCAACACCCTGCGGTCATCTCCACCTAAGACAGAAGACATATTAATAAATTCTCTAGAGTAGTCAACCGGTTTCAACATCACTCTCTCGAGGGTTTAACTATAGGGTTATACACGCACAATCTGGATAAATCACACGTTTGAGAAGCTTTTCTAGTTAAACATATACTAATATAGAAAATTATAAATTGTAATAATGTTTCACAATATTACATTTAAAAAAAATCGTATGAATCGTAGTCAATTGTGAGACTAAACAGATTGACAGTTTATTTAAACAGGTGGATTTCCACAAGAGCACTTTTTGTCGCAAACGTGTTTTTGTCATTTCAACATGTTGATAGCAGCATCCTACTGCTATTTTAGTGTCACATCTTATGTGCAAAATGCACCAGAAGATTTAAGGTTTTGCAGTGAAAACAAGGAAAAGTTGACCGCAAACCTGTGTAAGGAAGAAAACACTATACTTTTTCATCATCTCTCAGTGTTTCGACCCATGTAGTTTTCTAGTCAGTACTGGACTAGGGGTTTAAACAAATATTTTAAATAGAATGTAATTAGACAGAGCAACTTCTATGTTGTCCTGGTTTCACAGACAGGTCTTAGTTTCTTGAGCACCAAATCGGGATATTAGAATGATTTCTGAAGGATCATGTGACAATGAGAATTAGAGTAATGAGATTGAAAATTCAGCTTTGCTAACACAGGAAATGACATTTGTTAAAGGTGGGGTGTTTTCCTGGTTTCACAGACTTAGAAAATTAAATATTACTGGTGTGCATCTTGAGACAAAACAATAGCACTGACATATTTTAAGGTATGGTTTAAGTTGCTTTCAGTTAAAACAGCAAAAACATGCATTTTAGTCTTAAGTGAAATCGGGAGTAAATAATTTACTAGAAAACTTTTCCAAGCCTTGAATAAACCATTTAAGAATTGCTTATATTTCCTGGTTTCCATGAGCATGTGGGAACTTTCTGGAACTGCACATTCACCAATGTAAAGACTGAAAATATGCAAAGGACAAAAAGGACTCAACCAGGAATGAATACGTGAAGCCAAAAAAATCAGTAACAGCTGCAACCAATTAATGAGTCAGCAAGAAAAAGTGTACGACAGAAACTATGGAGGCCCTTCTACAGTCTGAACCGTCTACAATGGCCATTAAAAGTGCTTTTTTGTTTAGGTTAATCTGGCTCTTATTTGAACTAATAGACACCTATCAATCTGGATGGATGAAGATTGTGAAGAAGTTAATAAGAATTTTTAGATTCAATTCCAGCAAATTTTTATGAGCTATACCATTGACTGTCTTGGACAGGCTATATGACCCAAATTTGTTTGCACTTAGCACTTAATGTCTTGTCGTTTATGCTTGAACTATGGCACGGTTGATCTTTGTTTATTGTTAGTAGCGACTTAGTAAATTATTAGTAACTTCTGTCAATTGCATGACAAGGCTGGTCATGTGATGTCAACATGGTTACACCCATGAGGGGCGACCCACTTTATGTAGAATAAATAAGCTTTTTCTAGAAGACTGATCTTTATCTCATGTGTATTTACATTATGTAATGTATTTAAATTTTATACTGGTTTAAAAAGATTTTTACTGAGTGCACCTTAACATATACTGACAGTAAGACTGAAACCCTTTCTTGTTTATTTATTTGCAATGAACAGATAACTAAAACATGCTAGAACAATTTGACAAATGAAGATGTCAAATCAATCCTGTCATGTCTGAACTCAAGTCAAATGCTTCATTTGTGTGAGATATGCATGCACGTTTTATTCTTAATGCGTATTCTAAAGGCAAGTCCGTTTAAGACCCCGGTCTCTCTGTCTCTCTCGCTGACCCACATTAGAAAGATCAGCGTGCAGAACCGGGGGATCTTACCGGACACCAGCCACTGGCCTCCATTGTTGGAGAACTCGATGGCGTTGACGCAGCCGAAGTGGCCGAGCATGTCCTTCTTGAAGAGGCTGTTGCACCCAGCCAGTCTGCGTCGCTGGAACTCATCCTTCAGCTTCGGCTGTCCGCCGATCGTCCTGCGGGAGAGGAACCCGACGGCGCTCCGCATGCCGCAGCCCCGCAACTCCTTCATCTCTCCTCCGGTAAATGAGTCTCAATGCCACCGCTAGAGTGTCCCGGCCGACATGGGTTTGAGCTCAGGTCTAGTTCGGTGAATTATGGTTCCTTTTGAGCATGTACTGTTACATGTTTGCTAGGTAAAGCATGAAAGTACGCAGCAAAAACAGAAGGTTGTTTAGAGACTGATTCCCATCGACCGCCGGCACTTCCTGCTCCGGTGCAAGGGCGATGACGTCACAAGACCGGGATCAGAACCCGTGCTGTACTTTCTGATTGAATGTATTCGTTTCAGCTTTTGATTGTGACCGGCCACATCTTCAATCACATTGCTCTTAATACAGTACATAGTTTTTGTGCATGTTTTTCTTTCTTTATTTATCTATCATAGTAACGTTACCAGGGGAATGTGCATTAAAATTAGGGCTGTCAAACGATTAATCGTATCCAAAATAAAAGTTTGTGTTTACATGATATGTGAGGTAGGACACAATCAGAAATTGAATTAAGTTATCAAACAGTCTGCACTGCATAAATTATAAATTATATATAAGGGCTGTCAAACGATTAATCGCATACAAAATAAAAGTTTGTGTTTACATAATATATGTGGGTGCACTGTGTATAATTATTTTATATATATATTTATATATATAAATACACACACGCTTGTATATATTTAAGAAATATTTTCATGTATATACTGTATATAGATTTATATATAATTTAGATTATAAATAATATGTTTTTCTTAAATATACATGCATGTGTGTGTATTTATATATACAGAATAATTATACACAGTGCACCCACATATATTATGTAAACTTTTATTTTGAATGTGATTAATCGTGATTAATCGTTTAACAGCCCTAATATGCACATGCTTTTAAAATACTATTTAATTATGTTGTTGAGGACTTTATGTACAAGTTTCTTTAGTCTGGGTTTGTTAGATACGGTCTTATTGGACAGCGTTATTTTTAATATGACAATATCTTAAATATGAAACAAATTGAAATGTCAAAATAAACCATATCCAATTTTTTATACAATATTGTAATACTATTAGGACTTTATTGAAATGCAAAAACAAAAGAAATGAGCATAATAAAATTTTTAAATGGTATGGCCTAGATTAACACATTATATAGTAAATCAGCTAAATTATTTCCAAATTAATTCCACGTTTAAATTATTTATTTAGATCCATAAGCTTTATATTTAAATTTTGACATTCAGATTCAAACAAGACATCCCAAAACATTTAGCATTGTAAGTGATATTCAGAGAAAAGACCGGTATCTCCTATAAGTCTTAGAGATGCCAGCATTTGTAGTTGAGATTTGGATGACTATTTGGTGACTTGATCTGTTTCATATTCATTCAACAAAATCACAAGCAGAGACCAGAACAAAAGCATCTTAGTGTGTGTAGTTTTATTAAATTCCAGTTAAGGAATTACAGTGGTAGTATTTTTTCCAACAGTTTTTCTTACAAATACAAATTTATCCGAGTAGTCCCCCATAACTGGAGCAGAACATTTAAATTAAAAAGCTAAAAGTTTTATTACAATAAAAAAAAAACTAATACAGTGGCAGGTATACATTTAAACGGCAAACAGACAGTTCTTAAGCACAGCTTTAACTATGAGCTGACATCATCAGCACAGCTCCTTACATACTGTGTATGATAAATTATGAACCTTTTAGTCTGGACAAGCATGAAATATTTCCATTAAATTGCACCAAACCTCTGCTGTCCAGAAACAGAACAACACTGACATCAAAGCACAGGTTTGCCACTAGCTTGCATTACTTGTGACAAGTGCGAGTCTGGTTTGAAGTATGGGATGGTTCCCTCACGGATTGGATTTGTTTGTTTTAGTGATATATTGGCTTTCTAAGGAGCAAGTGAGGCACAGTATAATTCAATTTTAAATCTACTCTATATGAGTAATGAGGACTAAACAATCTCTCCATCCTGAAAAGGAGAGACTAAGAGATAGTTCAGAGATGCCCTAAAAGGCCTTATGAAAAAGGCATGTCTAATACTTTTATAACACTGAGACATCAGTATCTACACATGCTCATCTCACCGACAGGCAGGTATAAGCACACCGGGTGTGGAACACTGCAATTCTTTTGCTACGTTTAGTGAGATTAAGATGTTGTGACATTAATGTAGCTCCATCATTTAGTGTTCACGAAACATGCAGGTCATATTTCACTCCAAAATCAGAAGATTATTTTTGTTTTTCATTAAGTTTTTCTAAATAGTGACCAATCAAGTGTCATTACTCTATTTTCTAGTTTGCTCATTATTCTCAAAAGTGATTCTCATTAGATTTTTGCCAACACAATAACAATAAAGTTAATTGAATAAACTGAATAATAATTTTACAGTATGTATCAATCTAGGTTAATTTTAATTTAAATATCTTTATTTTACATTGTAAATTCATAATACACGTATAAAAAAATTTAAATTGTTCATTTTTATTCCATGATACCTGATACATTAACAGCAAATTACTGGTAACTGAAAATTTTCCCATTTTTATTATTTGTGTATTACAGTATAAAATACTGTTATAAAATTGTTTTTTAATAAAAGATAGTTCAAATTGTTTACTTAAATGTCATGAAAATGCCATTACAAAGCAAAAAAAATAAATAATAATAATAAAATAAATACTTTGAATAATTTGTTAATTAAAAATGTATCTATTTGCCCTAAGCTATATTTTTTTTCTACTAATCCAAATATAATTTCTTCTGATTTTAGGCTAAAGTATGACCTGAACATGTCCTAGGCACATCATTTAAATCCAATACAGCATCTAGGGGAAATTCGACATCCTCAAACATGCCAAAAAAACAGAACATACATTTCATTTTAAGAATCAGTTACATTAAAAAAAGATTTTTAAGAGTGCAGCACACAGGTGGTCCATCTAATGTAGACACAGACACTCAGTCCAGTTTCTATCTCCAACGTTCCCACAAAGCTTTGCTGCAGTTTTTAGCTGGAGTGAACAGCGCTGTGCAACATAAGATGCATTATAACAAAAACACAAATCTAGTAATGTTTTAAAAGTGCTTTAGCGTTCAGTACCTTGAGTGAATACATTCACACACACAAACCTACAGAAAAAAAAAGTTAACCACATATAACAAGGTTAAGTCTGCAACACACACAGAGACACAATTAACCTTCGGGAGACTTTCTGACCTCGCTGAGGTTATAGGATGAGAGAGAGCGATGAAATGCTTTAGCCGTCTTCGGGACTAAGCCGCATGGAAAATCCATCCAAAGCAGAGTCCAGTCCAGAGTATGTCTTTTTAATAAATCAAAAGCACCGTTCCTTTTCTCCTTTTTTGCTGGTTTGCTCTCCCACAAGTGTGTTGGCTGCTGAAATGATGCTGAAATGTGTGAATACAGCTTTACAGAATGACACAAAACTCACTAGTTACAGAGTTAAATCAGTTTTAAAGATTCAGTACATTAGTCATTTAACTATAACCACTGGGGGGATTTAAAAGCTCAACACAAGTAATAAAAAAATATGCCCTGATTCCAAGACTTTTTCATAAAAGAACAATCAAATGTCAAAAAAACAAACAAAAAAAAAAAAAACAGACACAAACCGTGAGAAAAGCAGATATTTGAAATAAAAACATCAGGCAGCACTGAGAGTAAAGGCAGCCGTAGCATAGAGGAGTGAAGATGTGAGGCTGTGGTTCAGTAAGGCCCTTTGGAGGGTCCGAAGACGGCCAGAGGGAAGTGTTTGACATGAGATGACCACTGAGCCGCCAGCTGGAAAAACTTCACATCGTTCCATTCAACTCCATCTATCAACACTGCAGAGAAGAAATATATAAAAAAAAAACACTTAACTGCGTTTAGTTTGTAGCCATGTCTTCATCAATTCCACAAACATCGATTATACCTAAATTATGTGTGTGTGCATATATATATATATATATATATACACACACACACACACACACACACTACCGGTCAAAAGTTTTAGATCGGTAAGATTTTTTTTTGTTTTTAAAAGAAGTCTCTTCTGCTCACCAAGGCTGCAATTATTTGATAAAAAATACAAAAAAACAGTAATATTGTGAGATATTATTACAATTTAAAACAGCGGTTTTCTATGTGAATATATAATGAAGTGTAATTTATTCCTGTGATCAAAGCTGAATTTACAGCATCATTACTCCAGTCTTCAATGTCACATGATCCTACAGAAATTATTATAATATGATGCTCAAGAAACATTGATGATTATTATCCATGTTGAAAACAGTTTTTTACATTTTTATTTCAGGATTCTTTGATGAATAGAAAGTTCAAAAGAACAGAATTGATCAGAAATGGGAAGCTTTTGTAACATTAATCACTACCATTCAAAAGTTTGGGGTCAGTAAGAATTAATTTTTTTTATTTTTGGGGGAAAGAAATTAGAAAATACTTTTATTCATCAAGGATGAGTAAAATTTATCAAAAGTTACAGTAAAGACATTTATAATGTTAGAAAAGATTATAAATGCTGTTCTTTTGAACTTTCTATTCATCATAGAATTTTGGGGGAAAAATGGTACACGACTGTTTTTAACATTGAAAATAATAATTTATGTTTTTGAGCATAAAATCAGCATATTAGAATGATTTCTGAAGGATCATGTGAAACTGAAAACTGATTTGTGTAATCAGCAACAGTAATGATGTTGAAAATTCAGCTTTCAAATTACATTTTAAAATATATTAAAATAGAAAAAAGTCATTTTAAATTGTCATAACATTTCACAATATTACTGTTTGTCATTTTTTTTCTTCATCAAATAAAGCAGCCTTGGTGAGCAGAAGAGACTTCATTTAAAAACATAAAAAATTCTTTTTACTGGTAGTGTGTGTATATTTATATATACTGTATACACACACACACACACCACCGTTTAAAAGTTTGGGGTCTGTAAGAAATAATATTTAAAATAAATGTAAAATATTTTTGAGTCTTATTACTCCAGTAAAAAAGTAATATTGTGAAGAAATATCACAATTTAAAATAACTGTTTTCTATTTTAATGTATTTCATAACGTAATTTATTCCTGTGAATTTTCAGCATCATTACTCCAGTCTTCATTGTCACACAATCCTTCAGAAATCCTTCTAATATGCTGATTTGATGCTCAAGAAACATTTCTTCTTATTATTGTGCTGGTTAATATTTGGGTGGAAACTGTG